CATCATCTCCATGACCGGACTCTTCATCAAAGGACTCTGAGGACGTCTCTGTGTCTGTGATTCAGCTGGTAAGTTTACGTTTTTTAACGTTACTGCAGCTTAACACGTACATCGCGATGAATTAAACTATGATCCATGTAACGCTAACTTTAAGATATTAGTGTGTGAATTTATTTTATGGGTATCTATGTAGCTAGCTAAAATCAGAAGCTAACTAAAGATTGACAGATGAACAGATGAAGCTTAGCTTGTAAAAATGTGCACATCCATCCAGTCAGCTGCTTAAACATTTCACTAGTGTTCACGGTTTATGTTCATGTTCTCCTCACAGGAGGTTCTGACCCTGATGTGAGGAGGACAAAAGAAAAGTGAGGTGGGGGCCACAGGACAGTCACAAACTTTGTTGTTAAAAGTTTGCTGCTTTTTCTACAGTGGAGCTGCATGGTGGAGGTAAGTAAACTGTAAAGGACGTTATTGACCAGTTAAGCTTTTATCTCAGTCTAGATAATGTTTTTTGAGTAATAATAACACAACCACGTTATTGATGTTTTGTTCTCATGTCAATTAGGGAAATGATCAGAGCCCTAAACCCTAGAGAACCACAGAGAAGATTCAGGAAGAGACACAGAGGTACAGAAGTCTGCGTCAACTCTACCTCATTGAATCCAGTGACCTGCTGGTGGAATGTGAGGGACAATATGTCAGTGCTATCAAACTGACAACCAGGTTTCTGTGTGTGCAACAAGCATCATCCACACCCTCAGAGTGAACATGTTCTACTGCTGGAGACACCATCAGCCAGGAGTGGGATTGTTTGTGTCCAAAGAAAACAGACATGTTGATGTTTCTGAAGAAAAACTGTTCAGTGAAAAGGTCCTCAGTGTGAAGCAGTGAACATTAGACACTGACGTGTCACTTGTTTGTAACTAGTCTTTTGACCTGGAAATTGTTTATTTTTATGTAAGAAAACTGCTTGGAATAGAAAAATACCAAAGTTAAAAAAATAAAACTCACGATTTGTACTATAATGTGTAATGTAATTTTGTTCTTGTTAGAATTAATAATAATTACAAAATTGGTACTGAAAAAAGAACCGTCCAGGAACCGACGTCGAAGTGAAGGTACCGACACCGGTACCAATACCGATTTTTTTAGAAAGTTACCCAGCCCTAAACACCGTTCATCTCTGCCTCTCTTGGAGTCTCTTTGTCTGCTGCCACGTACCTCCCTTTGGCCTCTCTGCCTGAACTCTCGTCCTGCTCAGGAAGGTCTCTGAACCGTCCACCTGAACTCTTGGCTCACTCTGGACAGTTCTGAGACTATCCACCTAAACTCTGAACTTGCTCTGGACAGCCACCTGAACACTGGACTCGCACTGGACGGTTCCCGGGCCATCCACCTGAATTCTGGACTTGCTCTGGATGGTTCCCGGGCCGTCCACCTGAACTCTGACCTTGCTTGGGACAGTCTCCGGGCCATCCACCTGAACTCTGGACTCCCTCTGGATGGGTCCCGGGCCGTCTACCTGAACTCTGACCTTGCTCGGGACAGTCTCCGGGCCATCCACCTGAACTCTGGATTCGCTCTGGATGGTCTTCGGGCCGTCCACTTGAACTTGTGCTTATTTTGAACATTGCCCAGAGCAGTTCATAGAAAATTTTGTTTATGTTTCTCTCGGGTCAATCCCTTTCAATTTTTGTTCTCTGTATCTTTCCTTGGTGCCCTCCATCCTAGAGTTTCCCCCCTTCACCCACTCAATCCGTTTTCTTGTGTTTGGTCTTTGGGGACATCAGGAGCCATCCCTTGATGGGGGGAAGCATTGACATACCGTATTTTCCACCGTACACGTTGCACCGCCCTATAAGTCGCATCAGTCCAAATATGTCTAATAAAGTGAAAAAAATCCATAAATAAGTCGCTTCGCCATATAAGTAGCATCTATTATGTGTCACCGCTGATGTGTCGCGTTTGTTACATGTCACCGCTGGCAACCCAGAAACGTGGGCCAGTGTTGTGCCAAAAATCGATTGGCTGCCAAATGGCGGCTGCAGGAGCATGTACGGGAGGACTTTAACAAGAATTTAACAAGATTAATACTTAAAAACAATTATTTGTTTCTTCAAAATTATAGTAAAGGTGTGTCTCAGTCTAGCTTTTCCTTAATAAATGCACTTTGACGGTCATGACTTTGACGGCTAAATATTTTTAAATAATTTATTTGAAATAAAAATTCCATGCCAATCATGTGGCACATCTATCAGTCAAACAATTGCATCCATCCATCCATCCATCCATTATCTTTACCCGCTTATTCCATTTTGGGTCACGGGAGTCACCGGTGCCCATGTCCAGCAATCACTGTGCGAAGGGTGGGGTACACCATGGACGGGTCGCAAGTCCATCACAGGGCCACATAGAGACAAACGAGACAAACAACCATTCACTCTCTCACTCACACCTAAGGACAATTTAGAGTTACCAATCAGCCTAATATGCATGTTTTAGGTGTGTCTCAATTGAACTTTTTTCTTTTTTTTCCTTCTATTCTCCAGTGAAACCAGACGTGTTTCCCTGTCTTCACCCCACACCCGCTTCCCTGCTGCACTCTTTTGTCCTGTGAACCCTTAAAAAGCCTCTTTTTTTTTCCTGCATACCTCTTAATTCGAAGGATCAGCTGGTCTCTCAACAAAATCGATCAACTTCTCCCGACAGGAGTCAGGGTAAGGAGGACCCTATTACCTTGAAAGAAACAAATTGGATTCATGATGACAACTAGATTCTACTGTTTGGGCTGGTGAAATCTTGGGATTGTCTACAAATTTGTGTGGATGTGTCGAAGCTTGACAGTGCTCAGACTGAATTTGGGGAGCTGCAGCAGGGAGCTGGAGCAGCTGTTATCAGGACTGTGAACTCACTGGCAGCACTCATGAATGGTGGAAATAATCTTGGAGAAGCTATGAGCTTGACTTTTGGAGTAAAGGATCAGTTCGGCTGTTTTGGAGTTCTATCAGACAATATGTACCAGCGTGACTTTAAAAGGCAGAAACAACAATTCACGAGTTCTGCCTGACCCAAATTGTGGCTTTGACGCCGGACTTATCTCAACTCCTCCTGGAATGTTTTGAAAACAACAAAACTGCTTTGACTGTTTCCTCACCCCTCCCTTCTCCAAGGACATGTGACAGAACCTCAACTGAGATGAACATGAATGTCACCTCTTATCTGGACAATGGCTGGGGGGGGGGGGGGGAGACGACTCTGGACTATGCTACGACTTTCCCTTAAAAATTCAATGTTTTCACGGCCTATATGTAAATGTATAACGTCTGTTTATGTTGCTTTGCTGTGGCAGGTTTTTTTGATGCCTCAAATCGTGCCCTGTCTAGGACACGGTGTGAGAGATCTTTTTTTTTTTATACCGTCTCTCCTAATATTTTCTTTCCTTTTCTCATCTAAGCAAAATATTATTCTGAATAAGAATAAGAGGGCCACGCTATTTATTTATAGCCGCAGCTTCGTGCACTCCGCCCATCTTTCGGACGACTGTACGTACATGTTCTCGTTGTATCTCGGTGCAATGCCAATAAAGTTTATTCTGATTCTGAACTTTTACTTAATAAATTCACTTTAATGGTCAAATCAACTGCATTTCCAAAGTAAATGCTGCCTCGGTACTCCGGGAGCACGCAGAGGGAGGAAATTAGGAAGAAAAAACGCTGTGCATTTCTTCAAAATTTTTAAAATTTAACAAGATTCATTCATTCAACCTTTATTTCTACAGGTTGATCCCATTGAGTCTCAGAGACTCATTTACAAGAGAGACCTGATTTAACAAAGAGTGATGACAACAGTGAACAACAACGACAACAATAGACAGTTATAAAAGAGGCATACAAATTTGTTTCTCTTTTTTTATTCCTTTTTTTTTTTACAAATCAAAACAAAATAGCAACCAAAAGGACAATCATGAGGAATAGTTGCAAAAAAACCAAACAAATAGCTAGATTATAAGGTGATGTAGAAAACTAAAAACAGAACATGTCTGCACTGGTTTTTGAACTTATCAGATGTTTGAAGACACTTAGAGAGGTCAAGGTCGAGAGCTTCAGATCTTTTAATAATATATAATTTATTATATATAATTTCCCTCTGGAATTAATAAAGTATTTTTGAATTTAATTTTTACAAGATATTTCAGGGAACAGGAGTGGAGTAGGAGAAGGTCCTTTTGCCTAGTTCAGTCCACTGAGGGAACATTGCAGGTAATAATGTCCTGAGAACACACGCTGATAAGCACCTCAAACAATTGTTTGCTTGTTTGACATCATAGCAAATGTGTGTCTCAGTTGAACTTTTACTTAATAAATAAACTTCAATGGTCAAATTAGCTGCATTTTGCCAGGGCGGTGCAGCGAAATGAAGCTGATTTGATGATTGCTCAAGGTGAGCTGGATGAAGGTTGCAGGCTATGGCAAGCTCATTGTGTCATTAATAGCCACTTTTACCTATTACATGACACAACGGCATGCCATACTACTCGAGTGCCATCTAGCGGCTGAAAATGGTAGTGTTCAATATTTTCAGTCAGAATGAACGAAAACGGTCATATCTCAGACAAACTTTGGTTTATAAATATGGGAAAAAAACATAAGTCACTTCAGCCAGGTGCACTCATTACTCACTCTACCTCTGCCTTATTTAAACCTGTCCTCATCACTACTCATATGTCCATTCATTGATCTGTCAACCCACAGATGTTTCAGTCCTCCTCTGTTTTGCCTGTTCCTGTTTTTGCCCATGATCATTCTGTCCTGTCTCTGTTAATCTGATGACCTGTTTTGCCTGTTCCTGTTCGCAGTTTGCTTGTAAGTTTTTGCTGCCTCGCCAGCCTTTTAAATTATTTTATTTAAACCCTTCAATCTTCTTGTCTGCCTGCAAATGGGTCTGAAATCTGAGGTCTGTGACAAAAAAAAAAGTGATAGCTTGAAGAGTTCACTGACCTGCCTCCTTAGCAAGTGTGCTTGTGGCGTGCACGTTCAGATTGACAGCTGCTTCAGTGTGACGTTCCATAAAGTCTGGACGCCTTTCTGCTGCACAGTGGACAATCACTTCAGGCTGAAACACACAAACACAGTGGACA